CCGCAGACTAAAGTCATATTTTAATAACTCTCTACATTTAATAAACATCGATATTTATCGATAGATATCGATTGTTAGCCTAGGAGCTACAGACACCACAGCCAAATCATATTTGCCTTTGGTATAGCCTCTCCCTTTGGAAATGCCCGCTCCACTCAATAAAGAGCGTTGTACAGGGTGTCTGCCAGTCGTACAGTCTCGACTCGAACAGCCACATTCATTTGCAATTGTTTATGCAGCTGCCTTTGCTTTTCCTTCAAGTTGCAAGTCTATTTACTTTTTGTTAGCTAAGCTAAGTGCGGCATTTTTTCTGGGCCAATTTAACTAATTTAACTAAATTGACTTTGCAATTTACCAATTGCTAGACCCATTTGCCAAACGCGCAGACAACTCAAATTGTGCCGAATCCAGCTGCTTCTTCGCAGAGCCGAGCCGAGCTTTGTTGTAAAATTGAAAAATTATTAAATTGAAAAATCGTATTAAATTACGGCACAAAAGCGAAAAACAAGAGATGCGCTCTAAAGAAAATTGAAGTCAAATCAGAAACCAAAATGAACAACAAAAAAAAATGAAAAGTTGATATATTTATATATATATATATACATGTGTGTGCGTGTGTGTATATGGAGCATGCATTGTGCATGCGCCCCGATTGAATTATGAATTAATAAAGATGTTTGCCCGCAGGCGAGATTTGGGTTACACGCAGGGCGTGCTAGGGGGGAGGGGGCAGCAACTGGCCGGACCTTGTAGCAGAGTGTGTGTGCACTGGGCGAAAAGTTTTAGAAAATCAGAAATCTGATCACAGCCGAAAGCATTTCAAGAAAAACAATTTTCCATCACAGAAATAATCCGAAATTCTAAATTGAAGACTGTAAAATTACAAAGAAGTATGGAAAGTATAGAAAATCTTGTTTTAATTTAGCTTTTACTTAAACTAAAAAACTTGATTTAACGCTCTTTCAAGTAGATAAAGTGTACTTTACCTAAAAAAATTCAGAAATCTAAGGAATCAAGAGTAGTTAAGGTTTTAAGTAAAGTTTAAGGTCATGATACTTAGTCTAAGCCATTTTGTACTTACATTAAGTAAGTACAAGTACAAGTACTTCCTACTTAATTTAGAAGCTTTTCGATGTGAAGAATACATTTTGTAATCAATCGAAATTCAGGCTTAATTTAAGAGCATTTGAAAAGGAAATGTTCTTTACATTTCAAGCTCTAGCTCTTTCATGAGCTCTCACGCGCTCCGACCAGAGTCTAGTTGGGCGTTTTTTCTCACAGTGTAGCAACCCTCTGCGTAAGTATGTTGCCGTTTTGGCTTTTCGGATTTGCCAAACACAACAAATCCGTTACAACAACAATAATAATGGGCAAGAACTTTGTCTTTTGTCTTCCTCGCGCTCTCGATGTGTGTGTGTGTGCGCGTGTGTGTGTGTGTAACTTGATGATGCACTTTTGCTGCCCCCTTTTTATTGAAAGATAATTGGGTTCGCAGCGCTCAGACAGGCATGAAGCCAGAGCCCAGAACCCAGAACATTTCACTCCAATTCAGCTCGCAATTCAATTGAGATTCAAATTTACTTTAGTTGCAAACGGGCCCAAAAATAGAGCCCAGCTCGGGCAGAAGGCAACCTATTGTATTACAGGCTGGGAATACAGCACCACCAGGAACACCACCACGAACATCATTGTTGCCCTCAATCTTTCGCTCAACATTTTCATCACCCGCAATTGCCACGCCCCCCCCCCCCTGCCCCCAACCATGCGGGGCATTAACGCTTTGACGTGTAAATGTTATCTCTTTTACAAATTAAGGCCCGCTACGATTTGGCATCAAGTTCGCTTCGGTTCGTTTTGCGGGCAGATTTTTTTGTACAATTCTATTAGGAATCTCCCTGCTGCTACCGCCGCCACCCCCTGCCACCCTGCCACCCGCTCAGCTGCAATCATGGCCAAATGTTTAACAATTAAATGTAACTCGAACCTGCTGAACTCTCGATGCCATGTTAATGTGCCCTCAATGTGAACCATTGGGCTCAACAAGGTCATCAAAGTGGTTTACATATGCTTATGGGATTTATGTGGGTTCGATTAGGATACACTTATGCTTGTTGGATATTATTCAATTTTAAGAATACGATAGAGTGCAAGCTGTTAATCTGCTAGGGTATTGCTTGAAGTAAACATATTAGAGTGCCCTACTATAAGATACCCTAAATCCTTCGCTTGGCCCCTCACAATGCATGGGAAGCACATTCCTCATTAAGTTTGTTAATAATAGTGCTGTGTTATTACAATATTGGAAGTACCCATTTCCAACAGTGGAAGTACCCACTTTAACCCATTTACCAAAAGAGCGCTGTTAACTTAACATTGATGTAAATAACATAATAGTAATGTAGGAACAGCCAGGATTCTTGTCATTGCCATTAAAAGGATTAGGTAATAATAATTGCGATAAGAACATAATGACAATGACAATGGCAACATGATAATGATAATAATATTAATAGTAATAATAGTAATGAGAATATTGCCAATAAAAAATAGGTTGGGGAATAGCAATAGAAATAGTAATGACAACAATAATGACAATAGCAATGAGAATAATATAATAACAATGATAATAATAATAGTAAAATAAATAAAAAATAATAACAATGATAACATTGATGAATAATTATAATAATAATAATAATTGCTTTTAACTATTATTGTAATAGTAATTATTATTGTTATTACTATTATGATAATAATTAAAGACAAATGTTAATTAGTCTAATATGACTTTCAGTCAATTTTCAGTTGATTTGCAGACTCATATGCTGAGTCGCCCGTTGCGACTGCATTTGCTAGATCGTCTTACGTAGCGCTGGGAGCCTATGCCCGATACTAATCGGTTTAGCTCTTGGACCCCACACACACACACACACACACACACACACACACACACACGCACAAATCGGTGCACATGCCAAGCCAAAATATGATCCTAAGCAAGCGGCGCGGATGGGGCGAAAGGCTTATGTCGAGCGCACACTTTGCTGCCAGAAACCGAATCTGAAGGCAGCCGAAATGAGCGAGAAGCGGCAGAGGAGCAATAGGTATATGGGCATATATATATTTATATATATTCAAATATGCAGCACATCTAACTGAGGCAAATCGGCTTAGGGCAAAATAATCGCCGTTTGAAAAAAAAAAAAACAAAAACAAAACAGAAAACACGCGCATCAACGACACCAGTTTCTGGGCCAGGGGGAAAGAGAGTGAGAAGGGAGGGGGGGGAGATCATACTGAGCTGCCAATGATTATAAACCAATAACAACAACAACAACAACAACAACTCGCTTGCCACAGATTTTATCGTGAAACCTTCGGCTGTCAATGTATTTTCCATTTGTCGCCTCTAATGACATATTTAAGGTGTTAATCGTCTCATTGCTACGCTGCTGCGCAGCGGATTTGCCCAGCACGGGGATTGTTTAAAGCCAGCACACACACACACACACACACACACACACACACACACACACACACACACACACGCACGCACTTCTGTATTGGGTGTAAATATTGATGTTGCGCTTATGCGCCTATTGCCTGCATTGACAAAGGACTTTTGCTACGCATTATCCTTGGCCAGCGATCTACCCCGGCCCCTGGCACTGCCCCTGCCCCTGGACCGTGTCTCTCTATCAGTTGCAGCCGCTGCTCAGTCAATCGTGTTTGGCTTTATGGCGCATTATCCCCTAAATCGCAAAAACAAAACTGCAAACAAATTGCCGCTGCCAGCCCAAAATGCAGCAGTCAGGCTTAAGGCCAACAGCAACAACAGCAACAGCAACAACAGCAACAACAACAACAGCTAAGACATTTGGCTCAAAGGCCTCGCACCAAATTGGCAAATGGCCTCAGCTAAAGGCATTCATGGAAATGAATCGAATTTTCATTGCTGCCGACATCGATATTTAGCCAAATAAGACGTCTAAGCTGTGTCTAGTAAATCCGCACACACACACACACTCACACACGCACACACACACACACACAAGCAAAAAGTGTTTAATCTTAGCCAAATGCATTTCACATATTTATTTGCAGCTTTACGTTTAATTTACTTAAGCTCAGCAGTTGCTATTTAGCCAAATTACAGGGTATTACTTATGCATGCAAAAAGACACTCAGCGTTGCGGCTTGTTTTATACATTTTCCTAAAAGCAGCAGTTCAAAAGGTTTTATTTAGAATTTACGCATTTATGCAATATGTTTCTATATATATGCACACACACACATACACACACACATCTATTCAGGCTGCACTATTTTTAGCGTCTGCGCATTGTTTTATATACTTGCTTTAGTTTTTACCGCTTTTTGCGCGCGTCTTGAACCACTGTGCTGTTTGCTGTACACTGATTGGCGCCGCCGAGCCGGGCCAATCAGCATTAAGCAATTTGAGCTGCTTGCAAGCAGTGCCTGAGCTGAAAGCAATGTTCAGCAAGCAGTTAGAAATTCCCCTTGAGAACATGTTGCTTTTACAATATGGAAACAACTGTTAAGCTCTCTTACTTACAGCTATAAATGCTTAACAGCTGCGTATCTAACATCTGTTAGCTAAGTTATGTTAAATAATAAACACAATAGCAGCTCTGCTAACGGACAACTGCTTGGCGCCAATTAAAAAAATCCCAGCGTAACGGGGAAATACTATAGACAGGAAACGGAAACAACTTTTCAAAGCAGCAATGTTAACTCTAACAGAAAATGTAAACATTTGAATACGTTTATACATATATTGGACGTATGTATACCCTGTATTCTTTGTTAGTTCTTTGATTTTGCATATGAAATATGCCAAAACTGCAATTAATCTAGTTTTGTTTTAAACCATTTTTATTTTTAAAAAAATTAACATGCCTTTTATTGTTTTGTAGCTATAATTATAATTACTAATTAAGTAAATGTTTTTGTTACCTTTCTTAGCCATTTCAAATGTGTTTTGTTTCGGTTTTCGGTTTCCTCTTGATTTACCATAATATTAATCTATTAAAAATTCAACATGAAAGTTCAGCTAAAAAATTGCTCAATTGTTGCATTCCACGTTAAACGTATTGATTTTTGATTTCTTTGAAAATTGTTTTAACAATTGTTTGTTTTTAAACCCAGCCACTTTTGCATTACTATTTATAACAATTTGTTCGTATTCTAATTAACAATGTTATGCAAGTGTGTGTGTGTGTGTGTGTGTATTTAAGAAAATTATAGTTTGAAAAAAAAAATGGATAACTAAATTACAAATTAATCATATTAATAAGTTTAAGTTGAGCATTAAACATTAAGTGAACACAACAAAAAGTAAAATATATATATATATATATAAACCATTTACATAATTGGCTAGAGTTAACTACAGGTATGTGTGTGTGTGTGTGTGTGTGTGTGTGTGTTGTATATAAAATGCAAGTGCTGCAGGCCCTGCCAAATAGTTGACTGTGCTAACAAATTAACAACAAATTTGATTAAACTAAATTTCAAGAAAACAAACAAAAACTAAACCCAAAAGCTTTACAAATCTTAAACAATATATAGATATATATAACAAAACTAAATTAGATTATGTTATTTGTTTTAATTGTTATCTGTTGCAATATATTTATCTGTTGCCACTCTAGAAATTGATGTGAACCTCATGGACGGATGTTTAATCTGAAGTCAAAATTGGCGCACAGCAGCTCAGCCAGAGGCTGCATACAACCCCCGAGTGTTGTCAGGCAAAGGGTATTAGAGCGGGAAGGGGGAGGGGGGGGGGTTTACAGTTCAGATTAGTAGACAGGGAGCATGGGAGGGGGAGGATCACAATTTTGATTTAACACTAAAGTTAACTATACGCTAATCAACATTCCGTTTCTGTTTCTGTTCCAGTTTCTGTTTTTGTTTCTGTTTTTTTGCATTTGCTTTTCGTTTTGTACAGTGTATATAGGCATCTAAGGCATAGTTTTTCATTTAATTTTTTTCTTTTTTTCTTTTGCACTATTCAAAACAAATTAAATTTTTCATTTACCAATTATTTACAACAATTTCGTATCACATTTGCATTTGTTTTCGTATTTTACAAAAACAAAAAAAAAATATTGTTTTTACCTTCATTTTGAATTATTTTCTAATCATTTTCTTTGACACAGTGTCGTTTGTTGTATGCATTCTTTTGAGCAGCACTGTGCGAATTTTCTTCAACCAGAAAACTGCGAGCTTTTGTAAAGCGCAATTTTCATTCAACTTATGCTTAATTCTTTTACACTTTACTTTTAATATTTATAAGTTAGTTTAACTAGAGGCTAAGTAAAAGGTACGAGTATAATAATATAATTCTTAAATTGTTGTGTGTAGCTGTCTGTGTGTGTCAGTGTGTCTGTGTGTGTGTGTGTGTGTGTGTGGCTAAAACAGTGTGTCCTGGCTATAACGTACAACTGTGTATATCAGTATTGCGTTTATGGTATATATAAAGGTAATTATATATATATATATAGATTTATCAGTAATTAAACTTGTTTTTATTTTGTTTTTTTGTTTTTTTTTTTTTTTTGCTGCTGCTCTTCCCCTTTCTCTAGATAAACTCTGAAAAACATAACAAATTGAAAGCCCTTAGTTATGGTCATATATTGGAGTATATGGACAAAAGAGTGCACAGACTTCTATATATATATATATGTATGTATGTATGTATGTGTGTGTGTGTGTGTATGTATATATGCTTGTCTAGCTGTTTGTATATGTGTGTGAAATGCCTAGTTTAAAAACGTTGCGACGCCTTTGAGGCGCCCTCTGGCGTCGCCTACTTGCACTAAAAACTGTCGCTTTACGTATGACGTAAGCTTAGCTGCCAGTTAAACTGGCTGTTAAATTTATTGCCTTTTTTCCTTTACTCAGCTTCGTTTTACCTTTCTATTTATGTATATTCTCCTATATATATACACCAAAGACTATAGACTAAAAAATTTGCATTAATTAAGACTACATAACAGGATTTGGGTATGGGGTTTTAAATTTAAGATTTCTCATTGGAAGAATTTGTAACTGAATTCTTCTCGTTGTGTGGGATTAGGTAACTACGTAGCTCTCATTGTTCTTATCTTTTCTTTTAATTCATTTTGTAAAAATTTTTGTTAATCAACTTTAAACTAGTGTGTTATATTTGTTCTCCTTCTTCCGACTCAGTTTGAGCTATATATTGCATTTAGATAAATGTTTTTTCATTTTGTTTTGTTTTGTTTTGTTTTTTTTTTTTTTATGTGGCTGGCAACTGTCAGTTGCCGCCAAACTGTGGCTGCTATTGGTGGCTCTTGCTGAGCAGATGGGCATTGAACTCGTAAACGTTGTTCAGCTGCTCGCCGCAGATGTTGCACTTCCACGGATTGCTCTCGCAGTGGCAGCCCTTGTGCAGAAAGTAGAGCGTCTCGTCGGGGAACTCGATGCCGCAGAAATGGCACGTGAGTATCTGTTTGCGGTTCAGCTGCAGCTCGCTCTCCTGCCCCGTTGACGTGATCGTCCCGTTGCAGATGGGCGTCGCGGAGCTGTTACCATTGTGACTGCCGCCCGCCGGTGTTGTGGGCGTGGCGGCGCCCGTGCCGCCGCCGGCGGCGCCACTAGCCCCGCCGCCATTCAACATCGTTTGCGGCAGACTCTGCAGTTCGTGCTCCAGCGGCGTCGCATTTCGCGTGATCCGATTGTTCGCCTTTGCGCAGATCCGTCGCTTCAGGTCCTCACGCAGCAGCGATTTGAGGGGCGAGACCTGCGGGGCAGGGGGGAAAATAAGCAAATTAAATAAAGTCCATTCAAAGTTTAAGGAAGGCGTCGAACAGTGAGCATTAGCACAATAATTATAGCTGCGTTTCGAGATGGTAACAAAATGTTGTGACTCTCAAACTGTAACTTGAAAAGTGATTGTACAACTGTAAGCCCAAATGTCAGACTCTAAAACTGTGACTCCAAACCTGTGACAGTTTCTGTCACAAGCCGTCCTGCTAGAACCAAAATCTGGCTTCAAGAATGTGTCTAGCTTAAAGCAAAGCAGTTGGCTTTGAACCAACGACTTTTCGTATGCTGGTTCGCAGAGATGTCCTCAGCAATTGAAAGCAAGTGACAAGGCCGAGACTTGAAGCAAAGTCTGGCGACAAGAATGTGTTGAACTCAAAGGCACGCAGTTGATTTGAACCAACGACTTTTCGTATGCTGGTTCGCAGAGATGTCCTCAGCAATTGAAAGCATATTACAAAGCCTAAGCTTGAACCAAAGTCCAGAATGTGCTGAACTCAAAGGCAAGCAGTTGGTTTGAACCAACGACTTTTCGTATGCTGGTTCCAATTTGAACAGAAGCTACCTTAATCAGTGAGGTGATTCTGTTGTTGTTGTTGTTGTTGCTGTTGTTGTTGTTGTTGTTGTTGTTGTTGTTGTTGGCAGCGATTTCCGTATCGCTGTTGGCATCGCAGGCGGCGCTGCCATTGAGCGAGTCCTTCCTGTCGGCATCCTCCAGCAGCGGCTCCTGAAAACGAACCCACATTAAATAAATGCTGGCGAGGATCGGGGGCGACAACTCAACTCACCTGCTTGATGGGTATTAGGCTAATCGAAGGCGTTATGTGATTCTCATGATGATGATGTGGATGTGAATGTGGATGATGATGTGGATGATGGGCATGATGATGGGCATGGGAATGGTGGCTCTTGCTGCTGCTCAGACTCGACGTTGTGCTGGATGTGATGGGCGTGGCCTTGCAGTCCATGGGCAGATCCTGGGGGGCCAGCAGCAGCGGGTGCTCCTTCAGTTGCTCGCTGGACTCCAGCTCCGTGTTGCTGTTGTTGTTGTTGTTGTTGCTGCTGCAATTGTTGTTGTTGTTGTTGTTGTTGTTGTTGCCCTGTAAGACAAAAGATTCACGCAAGACGCAAATCAGCTGGACGCACATGAGCAAAGGCTAGAGTTGGCTTAGATTGAGGTCCGGAGCACTTACATTGAACAGCTCCGTGTTGCCGCTCTCGCTGAGCGTTGAGATCTCGACGTGCGGCGTGAGGAAGTGCATCGGAGGCGTCGCATTCTCCAAGGAGCGCATCGATTCGCCGCTGTCGCTCTGATGGCTCGCCGGCGCCGAGGGCGTGGCCGCAGATGAGGGCGGCGGCGGCGGCGCCACCGACTGCTGCCCCATGGCATTGAGCTGCGGCTGTGAGTAGCTGGCGGCAGCTGCTGCTGCTGCGGCGGCTGCGGCGGCGGCCGATGCCTGCGATTCGAGGGCGAGCAGCAGGGAGGAGGTGCCGCCCGGGCCCGGATTGTCCAGATCGATGCCGTGCCGATTGAAGAAATGGATGCGCAGCGATTTCATGGAGCCGGCGCGATAGCTGCACAGCGGACACGTCTTGACCAGATCGTGCTGGCCGACATGCTCGTTCTGGAAGTGCGCACGCATCGCAATCTGGCGCTGGAAGCCGCGATTACAGATGGGGCAATGATACGGCAGCGTCTTCGTGTGCGTCGTAAAGTGCTCGGCGAGATGATCCTTGCGGAAGAAGCGCTTCTGGCAGACGCGGCACTCGTACGGCTTTACGCCCGTGTGCCGCATCTTGTGGCGCCGCATATTCGCGCCATTCGAGAACTTCATGTTGCACACATCGCACTCGAACACCTTGCGCGAGGCGTTCCCGCTGCCGCTCCCATTCCCATTCCCATTCCCATTGCCATTGCCATTGCCCGCCGGCGAGGAGCTGGCTGATGAACTGGAGCCGCCGACTGCATCTGCAGCCGGTTCCTGTTTGCAGCTGTCCATGTGACTGACGCTCATGTTCTCGGGCTCCTCGTGGCCCTCGCTCTTCAGGCGCACTGCCACCGCGGCCGCCGCCGCCGCCTGCCCGGCCAGGCACTGGACCACGTGCAGCAGGAGCGTCGCCCGCGAGCTCGTCTCGAAGTTGTCGCAACGCTCGCAGCGGAATGTCATGGGCGGCGAGTGCGGCCCAGTGCTGAGATTCGTTGGCGTCGGCATCGGCGTCGGCGTCGTTGCCAGCGAACGCGGCTCCGGCTGCTCGGATTCCGATGCGCTCGCGGCGGCTGCCGCCTCCTTCAGGCTGCGCAGCGCCAGCGCATTGTGGTGCAGCAGCGCAGCCGTCGACGGGGTCATGTCCACGATCAGGCCACCCACATTTGTATCCTTCAGCGCCAGCTCCATGCTGCTGGCTGCTGTGCTAATCGCTTCGGCCATCTACAAAGGTATTCGGTGATTAGCAGAGATTCAAAAGGATGCACACATAAAATAAACATGTCACACAGACTTTTTCTAAAGCGGCATAGTTAGAATATCATATTATTAGGCTGCATGTTCAATTTCAAAAGTGTAGCTTTAAAACTCTCCGAGTTATGGCTCTGAACCACTTTTGAACCGGTTCAGAGAATTTAATGAGCATACAATAAGGAAGGGATTATATTTTTGGAGAGTCTGAACTTCATTTGAACCGATTCAAAGTAAGTTGCAGCATTATTAGTCACTGAACCACTTTTGAACCGGTTCAGAAAATTTAATGAGCACTCAATGATGAACAAATTGTATAAGAGAACAGCCAGAAATTCATTTGAATCGATTCAAATCCGAATTCCAGCATTGAACCCCTTTTTGAACCGGTTCACAGAATTGAATAAGCTTACAATAATACTATATATCAACAGTCTGAACTTCATTTGAATCAATTCAAAGTAAGTTGCTGCATTATTAGTCACTGAACCACTTTTGAACCGGTTCAGAAAATTCAATGAGCACTCAATGATGAACAAATTGTATAAGAGAACAGCCAGAAATTCATTTGAACCGGTTCATAGAATAAAAACTTAGACACACCTAAGGATATAATACAATATTTAAAAAAAATGGTTTTTAAATATTGCCAGAACTATAGTAAATCTCAGCTATAGCACTGAAACACTTTTGAAGATTAAAATAACAATAAACCTATATACCTATATTATTTAGAGATTAAGATGAATTTACTAACAGAAAAACTTCAACCATTTTTCTCTGAATTAAACAAAATAAAATACGATTGCCTCAAAAATTGCATGTAGATCGGACTATAAGCACCGAAGATCAACAGGAGAACATTTCTTATAGAAAGTGTGGGTAGAAGAAGCACAACAAGGACTTGATTGCAAGTGTGTGCGAGTGCAGACAGCCCTAGTTTCGTTCTATATGCATTTGCCAAAACAAGCAACTAACTTAAGTTAATCGAAGTATTTGTCACCTGTTTCTAGCTAGTTAGTCGGTAATTTCTTGACAAATGCAGCTGTTAGAAAACGAACACAGAAAACGGGGTCAGCATCTGGAGAGCCGAGCATTTTTGGCGACTCTCTTGGCTTTTGGCTAGCTGCGAATTGGCCAAGAACGACAAACGAGCCAGCACACACACACACACACACACACACACACGCACACACACACATATACAGATACAGATATAAGTTGGGCCGTAACCATTTTGGGCGGCCGCCACGTTGCATGAAAATACCAAAGTTATTGAGGCCAATTGCTGGTCTCGCAGGTGGGCAAAACAGCTACAAATACAGATACAGCTACAGATACAGATACAGCTACAGCTACAGATACAGATACAAGTGCAGCTAAAGATACAGATACAAATGCAGCCACAGTTAGAGAGATACACACAGCTGCAGCTACATTTACAGCCAGTCAAAATGTTGTGTTGAATTCTTAAATTTAACATCTGCCTTTTTAGCTCTTCAATAGGTCAAAGTTGGGATGGATTTTGTTTTTTTAAAGACTCAAAAACTAAACTAAATTCGAGATGAAATCAAAATCGACGAGAAGTTGTTGCAGCTAATTTGTGATGCGACCTTGAAGCAGATGTGTGTGTGTGTGTGTGTGTGTGTGTGTGTGTGTGTGTTGAATGTGCATTAGCATTAGCATTAGCTGGTTCACAAAAGCCAGCTAAAGCCAGGGACGATCTTCAGCCAATTCCCCCCGCACACACGCGCATAATGGAGGCATACACACACACACACACACATCTATAGTGTACTATATGGTGTATATATATATAAACATGCCATCTCTGGGCCAGGTCATGCAAATTGAGGGCGAGTGGCATCATTTCATCATAAGGTTTTTTTTTTTTTTCATTTAAGCCAAATGTGTTAGGCCTATTTCCAAGCCAGCCACATTTATGTAAATCATTTCAAATACACTTTGGCGCCCTCATAAAGAAATAATCATAAAATGTATAAGAAACAATAACAGGTTTCATTTGTGCCCTTGCCACGAAGGGCATGCACATTTTATAAAGGAATTCGTTACCTTGCCAAAGCGTTGAAAAGTTCATGAATCATTTTTTATCAAATAGACTTCAATTGCCTGAACTATAAGAATTTAAATATTAAGCTGTAAGTAAGAGTATATAAATATAAAGAAAGTGCATTTCATCTTCGTTTGTGTCTCTCAAAGCTTAACTAAGCTCTATGAAAAAAAAACCCATGAGATAGGATAACTAACTTCATCTAGTTTAACAAGAGATTTATCTCTATTGTTTCCATAAAAGTCCTTTTCTGAATTGTGAATACTCTTTTAATAAAAGTTTTTTTGTTTAGTAAAGAGCATTTAAAGTTCGTTCTATCAGACAAGCAATATTTTATACATTTATGAAAAAATAAAGCAGAGCATTTCATAGTCGTTTCTTTAAGCAGAATATTTTCCACATATATTAAGAATACCTTGCAGATTTTTGTTTGGAAGAGCATTCAGACTTCGTCTTAACCGTTAAAAAGTGTGTTCCACATGCTTTTCCTACATTTCTTATAAGAATATGTTTGCAGTATAAGCACGCGCATTCCTATTGGAACCACACCTGAGCGTGGCATCTATTTTCTTATAAGAGTTAGGGTATTTCAGTATTCGCCTTAACCGCTAAAAAGTGTGTTGCACAGGTTTCCCATGTTTCTTATTAGACTATGTTTGTGGTATAAGCAGTTACATTCTTATTGGAACCACACACACAAGCGAGACAGCGCTTTTCTGACAAGAGTTAGGGTATTTGAGCTGCCATAAAGATTTTTCCTCTTCTTTTCATGGCTTTGAGCAGCGTCACAAACACACACACACACACTCAAACACACACATGCATACAGACATAATTTGCTGTTGCCTTTTGCGTCTGGTTAATAATGAGGTGCTTTGGTGTTTGTTGTTGTTGGTTTTTTTTTTGTTTTTTTGCTTTGAGCTTGGGCATTAAAATGCGAGAGTATTTTAATAGTTTGCTAGTTTGGCTAGTTAGCTGGCCCAATGGAGTCATTGGGTCAAGTTTTTAGAGAGCAACTGGGTCAGACGACGGCGGCAGCGACGCCAGCAGCGACGCGCGCATGGAGTGTCCCGCATTTTCACGCGCTGCTCCCAATTGGCAAAATATACAAAAAAAAAAAAAAAAAAAAAACTTTAAATAGAACCTAAAAAAGAAACAACAAGAAAAAAAAAGCTCCTTTGCTGCCTGCCAAAATGCGAGCACGCACACACACACACACACACACGCGCGCACATGTGCACACATACGCACAGGCAAGGCAGCGCAGCGTCAAGCAGTGCAGAGCAAAGCAGCGCAGCGCGGCGACATAATTGGAACAATTTGAGAGCCCTTAATGACGTCGACAGCGACGTCAACGGCGACTGCGACTGCGAGCGCTGCTGCCTTGTGGGCCAAATGTATCTTTCGCAGCAGCCTTTTTTTATTTTTTAAATTCAAATTCAAATTTGATAAATCTTTTGTTTTTCGATACACAAAACGTTGGTTAATCATATGCACGGACCACACGCTGCCGAACACACTCACATAACCGATTTGACCTTAACAGCTTTTGCCTACCGGTTTTCTAGTGGGTCGCCCCTCACCTATTTGTACTCCTCCCCCCCTCCGTCACTCTTCGCCTATCCATGCCATCTCATCATCAGTCTGCGCTTCACTGTTTCTGCCCCCATTCATGCGCCAAGAAAATGAGTCAGTCGGTCGAACGGCGATTTGTTGTTGTTTTTGTTTCTTTTTAATTTTGCTTTGCGCTTTTTGCTTTTTGCTTTTTGCTTTTGCGCTTTCAACAGCCCGCAAATCAATGAACCATTCCCAAAGTGTTCCCCTTAAGTGCAGCGCTCAAGAACACGAAGTTCTGGTTGGTTTCGAATTGGATGTAGGTGAGTTTCTCAAATAAGTAGAGTCTAATAAGTCTGATTTTGAGTTGGTTTGAAATCGGTTTACAACCAATTAGCCAAGATTCTCACCAACCGCGCAGCATCCAATAAGTCGCGCAATGAATTCAAGTCTGTCCCTGAGTTCAAATTGGATGCTGATCAGATATGCGTATGTGCATTTATTTAACAACTCCAATTAGTATTGAATTCTCAAAAAACGTTTAAATATCGACAAGACAGCTTGACTTGTGTGTGTGTGTGTGTGTGTGTGTGTGAACTTCTGATTAGACTTCACGCCGATTAGGTCCGACATCGAGTGGGTCTTATATGTTTGAATGCCCAGCAAGTCTAAGCTCGAGCTGGTTTCAGATTGGATGTGTGTGAGTGACATGTGCTTAAAGAACAAGAACAAGAACAAACAGGCACACGAGACGAGGAACAGACGGGCACGGGGCCGGGGCAGAGGGACTGACGAGGAGAAACCACTTTCCACGGTGACACACTTAAATGCTACGTGCTCTTTTGCTACTTTTGCTGCTGCTGCTGCTGCCGCTGCCGCTGCCGCTGCTGCTTTTATTACAGCTAACGTTGGCGTGAACGGCGACGTCGGCAGCGACGCTACTCCCATAATAGAAAGTGGAACAGGAATTTCCCTCCCAACATCAATGCCAATGCGGCGGCAGCGGCAGCGGCTGCGGCGGCGGCAGCAACAAAAACTGCCGCACCGATGATTTCATTTTGGCTTGCAGCAGCAATGCCGCAGCAGCGCCCGTCGCGCTCATTGCGAAACACTTGCCACGGCCAACAAGCAAATGACAACAGCAGCAACAACAACAAGAAACACACGCGAGAAAAGCAGGCAAGAAAAAAGGCGTAAAAAATAGTTCAATTGTGGGCAGCGCCAAACACCGCTCAGCTGAGCGCCAAGAGCAAAAGAGAGCGCGCCCAAAAGAGAGCCAACGAGAGCGCGCGCGTGAGAGTAAGTTACGAGAGAGAGCGCACCATATATCCAATTGGGCAGCTAGTTGGGACAGGCGGCATGCAGCATTATTGTTTACGCATTGCTGTTGTTGCTGCATAGCTCGATAAATGCATATATGTATATACACGCATGCATATTTGTATTTGAATTTATATTTAAATATATAAATGCAACGGCAACTGGCCTAAACTTGTGCATTGACATTAAATAGAGCACAACTTTCTTATTGGTTTCTAATTGCTGCTCACAAATTACAATAAGACGGCGTGAATTAGTTTCTAATTATTTATGGCACATGCTTGTCCCGTCTCGTCCCGTTCCGTTCCGTTTCGTCCCGTTTCGTATCGTTCCGCACACAATGCGCGCTCTCTTTGGTAAGTGGCACTGGCTGGCGTATAATTTTTTTTTCTTTTTTTTGTTTTTTTTTTTTTTTGTGCTGACCTAATTATACGCTCATTTTGATTCACTTGATTTTCTCTGCTCACACACACAGACAAACACACACACACACACACACACACATTAGTTTCGTCACTGCGACGACAAGTGGAGCAGCAGCAGCAGCAGCAGCATTTTGCGGTGGCGTTGGCGGCCCATTGGGGCAGGCGGCGACCGCAATTCTTTATTTTTTTTTTGTTTTTTTTTTTTTTGTATAGTTACTGGGACGTATATTATTGGGCTTCCCATAGATATGTGCTGGTACTCACACGCTTGATGCGCTTATTCGCACTCTATTTATGTTTTGTATCACTTCTCGTTCTAGTTAGTTGCCAATTGCAAATTCCAAATTGCATTTGTTGACGTTGTTGTTGCTGTTGTTGTTGTTGTTTATTTTTTGTTTAATTTTTATTTTTCGGCTGCCGCTGATCGAAACACCTGCGCAACGTTCCCACGAATTTCACTGCGCGCGGGGATTCTTTTCGATCAGTCGCCGTTGTCTCTCGGCTCACGTCGAATTTCGATTTCGATTTCGATTCCGATTTCGAAGCCGTTGCCGCTGCCGCTGCCGATTCCGCTTATTGGCGCTGGCGTCGACGACGCGCACGAACGAACTGAAACCCAAGCAAACTGCAATAGCTGGTGGAAGTACAAAATTTCTGACTGTGTGTGCGTGTGTGTGTGTGTGTGTGTGTGTGTGTGTGACGGACTGACAGACAGAGCGAGCGTCTCTTGCTGCCTGTCTGACTGGCAGTCTCAGTTTCTGTTTTGTTTTGGGACGGAAATGCCAGTGGCGTAGTCGCCGCTCCATTTTCGTGCACCACAAGAGGGCTCAATAAGCTGAAGCTTAGCCATGGTCCATATTAGTTATATTATACTAAAAATAAGTCAATTAATAAGATAAGCATTTCCAGTGTTGTAAATGGTAATTTTTTAAGACAATTGTGGCCTGCATAACTCCCTCTGATAAACGGCGCCCCTGTGCAAAGATTTGCCAATCGTTGGCGCGCTCAAGCTCTCAGTCGCAGCGCAGCAGCAGCAACAACAACAACAACAACAACAACAACAATGCACAGTTGACTGGCACAAGCAGCAGAATTTGAAATTAGGTCAACAGGTTTAGTTGGTAGTGGGCCTGAAGAGCGCTCGGCGACTGCGGCCTATTCGCATGATAGTAACTAGAGTGTGTTATTGTTGTTGTTGTTGCTTTTTGTTGTTTTATGATTTGCTTGCTGAGTTTACCTATGCCGCGACCTCGGACTGTCGCTACCATCCGGGCATCCAGCGCATCCAACGCCAACGTCGACGTCAACGTCGATGCCAACGCCGACGCAATATGCGTTCGCGTTTATTGCACCACAACTGCAGTTGCAGTTGCAGTTGCAGTTGCAGTTGCGGGTGTTTGCGGGCACAATTTAAGCTTTTTTGCACACTGACACAAACGCACACACATGCACACAAAGCACGATGCATATGTGTGAATTGAGCACACGGCATGGTTAGAAGAAGGAAACGGTGTGGGAAGTGAAGGAACAGAAGGAAGAGGCGGCAGCGTGAGGCTAAGTTGCGCCCGTTTTCATTACATGCGATAGATCTTTTGCAAGCTCTGTGTGCGTGTGCGTGTGCGTGTGCGTGTCGTGTATGTGTGCGTGCATGTGTGAGCATTTGGGGGAAATTGTGTGCGTCAGTTAGTGCAAAATGTTGATGGGAATGTGCATACATATATATATGCACATGTGAATGTGTGTTTGTGAATGTTTGTGTGGTGAGTACTAAAATGGAAACCCATATGCAGCCAATAAGAGCAGGCAAAACAAATGTCTGTGTGTGTGTGTGTGTGTATGTAAATGTGAATACATTTTGTCCATGAGACGCGCAGCATGAGTTGCCACACACTTCTTAGTTGGTTTCTATGTCACAATCAAACACACACACACACACACAGAGACAGACACAGATGCGAAAAGGTAAGAGAGACGGACAAAAAGCGAATAGTCGTAATGAGTGAGCCGCAGCAGCAGCACCTGCAAGCAGCGCGGCGCAGCGCAGCGGCCGCACCAGATAATCCCAGTAGAAATTGAAACTGGCTGCGGCAAGTTTAGAAACTGGTATAGAAATACACACACACACACACACACACACACACCCATACATGAAAACATGCATATATATATATATATATAGAGGCAATCGACCTTGTAGGAGTATTTTGTCTTGGAGCGCGCGCACGCCCGTAACTGGGCCAACGCGATTGCACTGAAATCAGGTGGGCGTGACGTAGGTAAATGTTGGCCAATGCATAGTGTATGTGTGTGTGTGTGTGTTTGTGTGGGAACATTTTGGAAAGCAAGAAGCAGCAGCTGAGGCTGTCCGTACCCTTGGCTGCCACATAATCCCCACACTCACAGCACACACATCCACACATTCACACTCAACAAAATGCCTTTCGAAATGACCACACATATTTGAGCATCTAAAATAGACACATGGATTTTCATAAGAACAACAACAGCAACAACAATAGACAATAACGGGCCTTGTGTTTGTTCTTGTTGCTAAATTTTACCTTCAGCGCAGCTGGAATATTTCGCAACCGTCTCCGAAAGGCGTTTGTATTTGGCAATTTTCGGATTTTGAAATACCACAAGGTGCATTCTAACAAGAAAATACACACGCACACACAGCTGCGCGCTCTCAGCACTCACACACACACACACACACACACGCACACAGTCACTGCAATTCTTTGCCTGCTTGTTTCTCAATGGAAGTTGTTGATGGGCAGTTTCTGGGGGGCCGGGCTGCGCAAGGTGCAGTAGCAGCAGCAGCAGCAGCAATAACAACAACAACGAACTAACCTCCACTCTTGCTGAGCCGAAATAAAAACGCGCGGCTGTTTGTAGTGTTGTGCAGCTGTTTCTGGAGCGAACGCGAAAACCAAAAAATTCAACACTGTATTCGGAAACGTAACGAAACGAAAGGGCAAGCGCAGCGAGCAAAAGTTAAAGCTTAAATAATAAACAACAATAATAATAATAAAATAACGGACGCACACGCGTTGCCCACATCTGTATGGGCCAAAAGACGAAACAGCACTGCCGCCGCCGCGACGGCCGCTCTATTGTTGAGTCTGCTTTTGCTGCTGCTGCCGCTGCCTCTGCCGCTGCCTCTGCCTATGCCTCTGCCTCTCAATGTTGCAGTTTCGAGTCAGTCCCGCTTCAACTGCGCGCGCTCAGTAAACAAGTCGAAGCGATTTCGACGTTTCCTCAAGGCCTACAGATTTAGGCCAAAAAATAATGTACAACGCCAATAATGGCAGATTGCTGGTTGCTGGGCCAGATCGGAGTCCGCTCGGGTCGGCTGTGGTTCCCAACGAGTTAGCAATAACAATTGGCCGTCTGATGTTGGCTTCTTGCACAAAATGCAATCGTTCTAATTGCGCAACTTTATGCGGCCAATTGCGATGCAATGATGCGAAAACATTATATTCAAACTTGCCGCCACAGCGATAGCTAATTGGCAGCATTTATCGTTATCGAACGGAACTCGCTTTGGTGAAATACCGTTTGGGCACGATTTCAGTCTATATAAACTATTTGGACATATATAATAAACAACTTAAGAGACACCATTTATTTATTTATTATATGCACATGTGTGTTAATTTCCATGTTTTCGTTTTACAGAATCTACGCCGTCTAAGCAATAAGCAAATCCTTATTGGAGCATTTAATAACTCCATTCGATTCAATAAAACAACTGGCAATAATACTTATATTATCATCTTTCATTTCATTTAACTTTATTAGAACTAAAAATATCACATTCAATTTTTTACCAAACACATTTTAATCGCCACCGTTTTTTATTCAAAAAAAATTTTATTCGATATTTACTAGCCGTTGCACAGCACTGTTTTAATATAAGTGCGTTCTCGCATTTGCAGGTACTGAGGTTTGCTCCGCATTGAAAATTTGTTTACAAGTGAATTAAGCGCGTTAAATATACAAAAGTAGTGTAAAAGTGTACTTATACCCTGGTTTCACAACTGTGCTGTGTTTTCCCATTGATAACTGACGTTTGTTAAGCATAAAAATCAAATTGAAAATTTACAATTAGCCCGCTGTCTGGTGCCGCAGTCAATATAATTATACTGCCCATTGGTTTACATAAGAGCGAAAGGGTCGGCTAGTGTACTATTTGCAGAAATGGCGTCGAAGTGGTGCACATGGCCAAGTCGTCCGAGACAATGACTGGTGTGCACAGACCTATATTAAACGATTACGCCCCCAATCTTAGTTCTTGTATTCGATATTGATAATGCGAACGATATGTGAATTGTGTCTATTAGTATTGATAACAGTGTGTGTTCAATACATTTAAATGTACACCATTTTGTCCGGTTTTTGATTCCGCTTTGTTCACATTATTCGGTTTCAATGCCCTCGCTTACAGTGTTGGCAAATGCAACGTGCGTCCAGTGTTGTGGAAGATCCAAAATCTCAACAACGTTTTCACATTTGTTTATTGACAAGTTTTGTTTAAAGTATACAAAAGTCAAGTGCAAGTGATCTGTGATTTGCTAACTTTTGTGTAAATAAATCTCATGAATATTTTATAACACTTGATCTGCTTACCATACCAAGATATTTGCAGCTGGCAACACTGCATTTTGAACTCCAGCGGCGGCAGTGCGAACGAGACGCCAATATTGCGCCTTAACGAAGACCGAACACAAAGCAAAGTAGAAAACCGAAGCGAACGGGCCCAAGAGTTTATAAATCAATTTTTTGTGTATGCAAGAGCTGTGCAATTCATACCGCAAATAAGGTATTTTTTCGGTGTAATGCAAGTGCGCATTTCATTATAGAATGCATACATATATATACCAGTGTAACAACATGAATTTCATTTAATTTGAACTGTTTGGGGTTGTTTAGTTACTGATATACCAAAAAAAGAAACGAAAAAAAAAAGTGGTTCCATGATATGCGTTGGCGGTGGCGGCGGCGGCAGCTGCTGGCTTGGCAATTCGAGTATGACAAAGCTTTGTGATATGAGCAAAATGTGACGAAAATTGCTATTCATCGCTCGAGTTGAGCTAAATCTTAAGGAAAATATGAATTGAAGAAGAGCATTTATAACAAAAGGGATGATCAAATTGAAGTCTAAAACGTTATTTTTTGCGAGAGCAACAACCAACAACCCCCCGTCAGCATTTCCCCTCGTATCATTGTCAGACGTCGATCACGTTCCGCTGCCCGCACCGCATCCTCCCCTGTTACCTGTTTTGCGAATACACACGCCCGCCTCGATGGCGTTGCTGCTATTATTGCTTTTGTACTCTACTCGCTTTATCCTTCCGTTCGTCTTCATTTCGGTTTCGTTTGTTATTCTGAAATTCTCAACGTTTTATAGTGCGTTCCACTTCGTGCGTGGTGCGTGCGTGTTCCATCTTTGCGCGTCTGTTTGTGTGCATGTGTGCGTATGTATATGTGTATGTGTATGTGTATGTGTTTGTGTTTGTTCACGTTCTCTCATTATTCCATTCTCTTTGATTAAATGTACATTGAACTCAGCTGGGCCATCTAGTTAGCTTCGTTTTTCTTTCGTT